TTCAAGAAGAATGGTCTGAATGAATCTCAATGGAGAGACAGAGCTTATATACCCAGCAGCAACCGCTATGAGTCATGTTGGGAAAACCAGAGAAGTCGCCGGTGACTGGTTCCGTTGCTAAGATACGGTACATCTGGTTGGTTGCTAGGGAGGCGGTAGCAGGTGGTGACGCCGCTACGCAGTTTGTAGGGGAGACGTCCACTACAATAGCGTCTGTGACTGGGATGAATGAGACACACTGTAAAATTTAGACACTTATATTCCCTCCAACACTACAAACACAATCAAATAATGGTACACCAATATGTGCACCTCTTAACTTGAACTTATTACACTACTCTGGGGAATAAAAGTTATACATGATATAGAAATTATTAGAAACTCAGGCAGCAATAAATTTGAAGTATTAAGAAATGTTGCTTGCACACATGAAACAGGCCTTAAGGGCTTTCAACAAAATAATATCAGTCACTGAGGAAATGGTATTAAAAAATAAGAAATTAAATACTATACAATGAATAGGCCTTAAGGGCTTTCAACAAAATAATATCAGTCACTGAGGAAATGGTATTCAAAAATAAGAAATTAATAACTCTACAATGAATAGGCCTTAAGGGCTTTCAACAAAATAATATCAGTCAATGAGGAAATGGTATTAAAAAATAAGAAATTAAATACTCTACAATGAATAGGCCTTAAGGGCACTCAACAAAATTATATCACCCCAACAGATGCACACTTCCTAACCTAACTTAACCACTACTCTGGGGGACAAAGGTTATACCTGAGATCGGAATTATGAAGAAAAATTAGATGCATTAAAAGAATCAAATCACAGTATCACTCTGGTTCCACTTAGTGACACAAACATTCAAAAAACAATACTATCAAAATTGTTTAAGAAATATTAAACTACACACGTCAAGATAATATCAGTAACTGAGAAATGGTATTAACTACACCTAAATATATTGTCACTATTATTGGTTTGTTACTGGGTCCACCAATACCCGAGAACCATGCTCCACCCAACTCAACATACACCCGTAATAAGGGCGATAAAATGTTCCTCTAGGTATCCCCTAGATTCATGGTCTCAGTGTGCGACCCTGTATCACTCAGCTAGCCTCACTTTACCCCCAGTACATCCATGAAACGGAAGGGAGTGAGCAAATCAGACCTTGTACAGTTGAGAGAAGCTTTAGCTTCCCGTTAGCAAGAGGGTTTCACTAAGCTGCTCGAGACATGTGGTGTTGTGAGCTGAGGTAGAGGAGAGCTGATGACTCCAACGATCGTCCCGTCGTCAGCTGGGCACCCAGACGGCTAGATTCCCTCAAGAGATCCTTTGATACCCCGCTAAACAGTGACAGGCCTACACTGATCGGTCCAATGGCGACAATCGCCACCCTCAATCATGAACGGCAGTCTCAAACGGCAGTCTCAAACGGCAGTCAATCTCTCGCGGTCATCACTCTCGCAGTCATTTTCTCGCAGTCAAGTGGGTTCTGACGGAAACCCTGAAATGAACTCACTGTTAGCTCTTGTTAACTTTACCACTGCCCTATCTAACCCTGTCTGAGATCGAATGAGACTTACTTGTTATACTGCATAGTGCAACACAGGTGACTAGGCCACGTGACTATTTCTGTGACGGACGCGCAGGGACGTCTTGTTTGTCTGAATGCTTCCCCGTGACTGAGGGAGAGCCAGCGTCGCGTCTCTCCAAGGCGCTAGCTTAGGCCTACGTGACATATTTTCCGCCTACCTAATAACTCCTTGGGACACCCGTAACATTATTCAGACTGATAAACGATCTATAATAATTTCAAATTCAATAATAGTCCCTTAACTTCATGAATCGCATCATTATTAATTCGGCAAATTACATTTAATATCATATAGGCCTAGTTCCACAACCTCCCACTATGTGCGGGGAGCGCTCTCTTCCCTCAGACGACCTTGAACGCTCAGTATCGCTAATGGCGGGGCATTTGAAATTTCTGAATATTATATATATATATATATATATATATATATATATATATATATATATATATATATATATATATATATATATATATATATATATATATATATATATATATAAAACGAGCGCCTAGGTTAACGGGATTTCGGTTAACGAGTTACCTCCCATAAGATTCTTAACTTCTGTTAACGAGCAATCCCTCAGTTAACGAGTTTCTTACGAGCCGACCTCAACATGTTTTCGCTTGCACTTGGCAGTCAACCGGCTGTAGTATTAGTCTGCCAATACAGTAATCGGTTCTAGGGCTTAAATTCCTTACTATTTAGTAAATATGAAGAAGTTTATACTATTCAATAATTTTAAAAGTTTAATATTAAAGTTTTTAGTCATTTTAACAATTATTGAACATAATTGAAGGTAAAGTCACTAGTTTTATGCGTGCCATCCAGCCTCTTAACACACCAAACAAGCGTTAGTCTTTCTCTTTGTTCTACCCTGGGTTACTCCTTGGAAGTATATGTCCACAGAGAGTGTTGTAACATGTATGTTAGGCATAATTAGTTGGAAATAATTATCCCAGGTTGGGTAGTGGACCCCAGGTATCTGCTGATATAATCATTAACGAGTATGTTGAGTAAAGTAATCTATAATGAGTGCCATGTACTATGTATTGTGAGTAAGGCCAAGGAACTGGTCCTACTATGCCATGTAATGTAACACCAGTAATGTTGTGTGCAGTAAGAATGTAAGATCTGAGTAATTACTGTTGAGTAAAGAAATAAGAAAATAAGTAAATAAGAAAATAAGTAAAGAAGAAAGTACTGAGTCTGCACTAAGCCCAGGAGTTGAGCTTGGTAGTTATATGATTAATACTATATCTTTTCCCCTTTGATTTCATATTAATAAATTTGTTCTTAGAGTACTTTAGGTGTATTCATTTCTCCCACAGTATTTTACCTTTATTTCCGTCCAAGTGTCTTGATACCAGAACTACCATACCCATGTGCCTAAACCCTCGACCATGCTACCAAAAGAATAGGGGACAGAACTGAGTAAGAGTAAGACTAAGAGAAGTGAGAAATATGAGGTGTAGGAAACATGCGCCCTCACACTGGTCATGACCCTGAACTTGCCAGAACTTTGGAGTATCAATTTGACTTTGTGAAAGTGTTGTTTTTGCCCCCCAAAACTACATCAATCATACAGCCAATGGACCAGAATGTGATCAGTAGCTTCAAGAAGTTGTACATGAAGAAAATGTTTAGGAGGTGTCATCAGGCAACTTCCAATGATCCTGAACTATCACTGAAACAGTTCTGGAAGAAACAATTCAACATCCTGGAGGCTGTAGAATTGATTGTGTCATCATGGCAAGAAGTCTCCACTAGATCCCTCAATTCTTCATGGAAAGCACTGTGGCCATCAGCAGTCCATGATTTTGAGGGATTTGAGGAAGAAACAGAGTTGGACCAGGAGATTGTGTCCATTGGTCAGTCATTGGGCCTTGAAGTGGAAGAGGATGATGTCGAAGAGCTTGTGATGTCTCATGAGGAGGAACTTACTCCTGTTGACTTGAAGCAACTGGATGAGATGTTAGAGGTTGACAGTGGTGAGGAGGAAATTGAAAGTGATGACCATATGTCAACTAAAGAGTTGAAAGATGTGATTTACCACTGGGATAAGTTCAGGGAACTGGCTTCAAAGCACCCAGATGTGGAAAAAAATGAACTAACTTTGTGTCATGTTGAGGACTCAATGGTCTCCTTCTTTAAACATAAGTTAATGGTGAGGAGGAGAGATGCCCCACAGACCACAATTGACACTTCAGTAAAAGGCAGAGGGAACAAGATGCTATCCCTCAGCTTTCCACTTCAAGAAGGAGAGAGGATGATGCTAGCCCTCAGCCTTCCACTTCAAGAAGGAGAGAGGATGTTCATGGTGGAGAAAATGTCAGTCCAGAGGTTCCTGACATTTTCATGGAAGGTGACTCACCTTCCAAGAAGCAGTAAAATGCTTCTCCTCCACCTCCACTTCCTTCTCTTCTCCCTTCTCCTCCTCCACCTCCCACTTCAAATTCACATCAGCATCATCATCCAGGAGCCTTCTACATACACACCTCAAGGTACGTGTCAATTTCTAAAAAAATTGTTGAATTTAGGCAATTTTCGGTGAGCTGGAACCATTTACCCTCAAACCCATTGAAACGATGGTTTCGGTTAACGAGCAACCTGCTGGAACGGATTGTGCTCGTTAACCGAGGGACCACTGTGTATATATATATATATATATATATATATATATATATATATATATATATATATATATATATCATGTAGACTCACAATGAAAACGTTGTGGTGTTGGTGTGCGTGTGTGTGTGTGTGAGAGAGAGAGAGAGAGAGAGAGAGAGAGAGAGAGAGAGAGAGAGAGAGAGAGAGAGACACTTATTACATTTTATGAGGGATCCAATTCATTAATTAAAATTAATGATTTCTTTTATTTCACACACTAACATTGATATATGTATTTATAACAAGCGAAAGGAAGTAGATGATAAGATAATAGAGAAATAATGGACATAAAAAAGCACCACCCCGCCTCTCACCCTTCCCCACAAAATACACTCAAGGATCCCAGCCCGGAAGTCAGTCACTTTGAGATCCTAGATTCACCCCTGATGATTATACAATATAGGAAATCCCTCAACTTGACCATAGGAAGAGGCATCCCCAGGATCTATGCTCTTTTGTACAATAATAATATTGTACAAGAAATAAATATGAAGGAGATTTTTTTAATCCTAGACGAGTATATCGCGGTCGCCGCTATATATATATATATATATATATATATATATATATATATATATATATATATATATATATATATATATATATATATATATATATATATATATATATATATATATATATATATATATATATATACATATATATATATAAATAATTTTTTTTTTTTTCGTTTACCCTTAAAATATAGATAAAATCGTCCTCCTTAGAGACGTCTGGTCCCTAGATGGCGGGCCAGTGGGAGACGGGCTTCCTCCTATTTACTTTCCTTGACCGACATCATAACACAACAGTGGACAATGGCTCCGAATCGATTGTCATTCGAGCAGCGCAAATTGATTTTGAAGTGGTACTGGAAATCTGAGAATGTGTGTGACGTGCAACGACAATGGAGACGTGAATTTACAACTGAGCCCCCAACACGACTAACTATTGCTAGAATTCGTGACAAATTTGAGGCTGAAGGTACTGTGCAAAACATGCACAAGAATCGTTCTGGGAGGCGTCGCTCATCAACGGGTGAGGAAAATGCAGCTTTAGTGTTGCAAGCATTCACACAATCACCACAAAAATCTGTAAGGCACACCGCTCGTGAAACAGGAACCAGCAGGGCAAGTGTGTACAGGATTCTGAAAACTGCCCCAAAGTGGAAATCGTTCCTGCCTCAGCTTTTACATTCCTTAAGTGAAGACGACTCTAGACGCAGGGTAGAATTTTGTGAGTGGATTCAAGGAAAGGTGAATGAGGATAAACAGTTCGTTGACAAGATTGTCTGGTCTAATGAAGCCACTTTCAAGCTCAATGGTACTGTAAATCGCTACAACTGTGTGTACAGGTCCCTTGAAAATCCAAAAAGTCAGGTAGACAAGGAAGATAATGTGCCAGGATTGACAGTGTGGTGTGGTGTGTCGTCTAAGGGTATTGTGGGACCGTTTTTCTTTGAAGGGACAGCTACTGATGCTGGGTACTTTAACATGCTGCAGTCATCCATTGTACCTACCATACACCAGCTGTATGGAGACAAGAAAGTTTACTACCAGCAAGATGGGGCTCCCCCACATTTCCACAGTGATATCAGGGATTGCCTCGATACTAATTTTCCAGGCCGGTGGATAGGGCGAACAGGTAATGTTGATTACCCTCCACTTTCACCTGATTTAACTCCATTGGACTTTTACTTGTGGGGTAACCTTAAGAATACAGTGTATGCTAAAAAGCCTTCTACACTCCAAGAACTGAGGCATGAAATTGAGTGGTCCTGTACAGCGATCCCAGCACTTATCTGTCCAAAAGTCTGTCGCTCTGTTTTTCGCCGCTGCCAGCAGTGTCTAGATGCTAAAGGTGGACAATTTGAACATGCTGTATATGATAGTGAACAATGTGACAAACCATTGTTTCACTGAATTATTAATTAACAGATGTTTTCTTCATTAATCAGAACAGTACAGTACCCTAGTGTTCATCCTTAGGGTGTCATGATACTCAAAATTATTCTGAAGACTACAATGGAAATAAGTCTTTTGACTTTGTGTTTTCTTTGGAATTCTATTACTGTACTTGTATTGTATACAGTTTATACTGTATGACAAGTGTTTACTTGTTAATATATTGTAGTTCTTGCCCATATCATAGTTGGTAAAAGTGTAGAAGGGTGACCACCAGAAGGAATTGTCCGAATTGATTGAAATTTTTCTACACACTAATATCATGATACTAAACACAAAAATGAAAACAACAATACGTAGAACCTGACCTAACATACCCATAGGTTGAGTATGTTTGGTCAGGTTTTATTAGGTTCTATGCATTATTTTGTATTTTTTTTATATATAATGCTAATAACATGATATTAAACACAGAAATGGAAATAACAATGCATAGAACCTAATCGAACCTGACAATCATTTTATTTACTCTATCCCGCTTCACAATTCTCTTCCTGGCGCCATTTTTGTTGTTGACCTCACTGAATCCCTGTTCAAGAGACGTTTCCTATAAATGATGAACACTTCCACGTATTCCTCCTCGCCATTACTGATGTATATCAACCTTAATATTAAGGTAAGTTGTTCAACACATGAATTAACACGATAATGCATAGAACTCTAACCTAACATACCCATAGGTTGGGTATGTTAAGTCAGGTTCTATGCATTGTCGTTTCCGTTTTTGTGTTTAATATCATGATATTAGTGTGTAGAAAAATTTCAACCAATTCGGACAATTCTTTCTGGTGGTCACCCTCTTCTACACCTTTACCTTATAGTTTATTGTGCAGCTAATCCAAAATGTTTGTAGACCCCAGGAGTCCAAAAGAATATGAAACATTGGGTGAAGATCAACCCAACCAATACGTGAACACGTCTGAGATTAATGCTCATTTTCTATTCCATTGGACCCTGAGGTCTCGATACTTTTTAGATCAACTATACTTGTGATGAATTCCCCAAAATCAAGTCTGTACCTGTATAAATTATTTGAGATTAATATTACACATAACGGTACTGTACTCACACTTGCAGTTGTATTTGTGTAAACAAATAAAATAAAAATATTAAATTAAGATTATATCTATTTATTTACATGTTCTATGTTGATTTGCAGGCTATCGAGCTGGAGTTGGTCTACCGGGATATTTACACTAGTGTCTATTAACCAAACCTCACCTAACCTAATTTAATCTAATAATTCTTAACCTAACCTAGGTTAGGTTAGGTGTAAATATAATGCACTGTAAATATCCTGGTAGACACAATTCCAGCATATTATAGTAGCACCTAAAAATCATGTTACAAGTTTTTAATAGAACAGTACAGGAAGCATTAGTTTGATTGAGTATATAATACCGGTACACATGTTTGGCAGTGACCAGTATACTGTACACATGTTTGGCAGTGAACAGTTAACACGGACGAGTGGAACAAGCTTAGCAACTTTGTAGTAAGTGCTGGAACTTTGGAAAGTTTCCAAAGGAGGCTAGATAGATTCATGGATGATAGAGAGTGGTAGTAACTCTCGACAGGAGCTGCCATGCACAGGCCAACCGGCCTATTGCAGAGTCCTTATGTTCTTATGTTTAGCAGTGAACAGTATACACGTTTTAACAGTGAATAGTATACATATGTTTTAGCAGTGAATAGTACATATACATTTTAGCAGTGAACAGTATACCGTACTGTAGTATCCTTATTATTTAAGTTCGTTTTGTGATGGGTTGATAGAACATTATCGAAAAATAACTAATTTTCCCCCCAAAATCCCATATTCAAAACCAGATGAGCTATTGCACCTTAGTATATTCCAGGTCTCTTATTTACAGAGCAATAACAGCTGATAACATAAGAACATAAGAATGGAGGAAACTGCAGCTGGCCTATTGGCCCATACTGGGCAGTCCCGTTTACACCCAACCCCTATTGCTCATATGAGCATCCAACCTATGTTTGAAGCTATTCAGCATATTCGAGTTAATGATGTTATTTGGTAACTTGTTCCATTCATCCAATACTCTGTTTCCAAACCAGTGTTTACCTATTTCACGCCTAAATCTAAATTTGTCTAATTTAAAACTATTGTTACGAGTTCGCTCCTGGTTGGATAGTTTGAGTACCTTTGTAATGTCCCCTTTGTTTAGCCCTGCCTTCCACTTATACACCTCTATCAGGTCGCCCCTCGCTCTACGTCTCTCGAGGGAGTGCAAATTAAGATGCTTTAACCTGTCTCTATACTCAAGGTTCCTAATGCCCGGGATTAGTCTTGTCATTCTCCTCTGAATTCTTTCCAAGGATTCTATATCCATTCTGTAATACGGTGATCATTCAGGCTCTCCCTAAAAATGTTGCCAGCACTCACCATCACTCAAGCACTGTTGTTGTCACTGCTCAAGAGGGTTTGTGTTTACCACAGGATCTGTCTTGAGCACTTGATAAATAATATTGTAGCATACTCATCAGAACTTAATAATGTTACAAACCCCTTTAGCCACTTACCAGCAGCCAGCTCATATATTCAGAAGCAGTAGATTACCACAAGTGTTTAATTATCATCGGCTGTCCTGCCAGTCTCCTTTAATTTCCCGACAATTGGTATCAGTGTACAGACAAACCACAGGCCGGTAGATATCCACCAGGTCACAGAAACACACTTGTGAACTGTAGTCTTCTTTAATAATCACTTAATCTTCACAACACTGTTCACAAGGTATGTCTTTACAACTGGGCTTTTCACTTCGTGTATATACAGCCAGCAAACTACCTGTGTATAATTCCTTAGTCTTTTCATTTTATATTACTCTCAACAATTCCACAATAATGGAACAACATTTATCTCTTGGTGTCACTAGGCTTGTACTTCACACTTTGAACAAGAACAGATGAATGACTCCTAGGCAGCTCGCAGGTGTTTATATTTGTCTCGTCAGATGCCTAGAACATTCTAGCGACATCTAGGTGTTGCACGCCAGAATGAGACAAGCTTACAATACGTAAGTACAGTCGGCCCTTAACATACGCGGGTTTATAATACACGGATTTGCAAATACGCGGAATGCCCCGCCGGAGGAATATTCTGTACATTGAAGTAATTAAAGTACATTCAAATCGCGCGCCATTCAACTCACGCGCGGCACCGAACACGGGACACCGCCCGCTCTCGCAACCTCACACACACACACATAGCTCTCCCTCACTCAGTCAGTCTCGCTGTAACCACGCTTGTGTTGACATCAGCATTGTAGTTGCAAAAATATTACATTTCCGTGAATGTATTATATCAAGTACAGTATGAATAGAATATTACTAATACAAGAGTATTTTAACTGAAAACTACTAAAAAAGCGAGTAACATATCTTGAACATTGGAAGGCTAGGTGAAGTCTTTTGTTTTCATGTAGTTTATCCTAATTTACATTGAAATGCATTACGTTTCAGCAAAACTACTATTTCTTTCTGAGAATATGGAAATGTAATATTTTGCTGAAATGACGTACATATTACAGTGGAAAGTGACGAAAGCAATGACTCACTTTCTTTCGTTCAAAAGATGTTACCGTAATCGCTTTTCGAATGGTTTTCAGTTAAAAAACTGTTGTATTACAATAATATTCTATCCTAATTCACTTGTGATACAACAGTTTTTTTAACTGAAAACCATTCGAAAAGCGATTACCGTAACATCTTTTGAACGAAAGAAAGCGAAAGTCATTGTTTTCGTCACTTTCCACTGTAATACGTACGTCATTTCAGCAAAAATATTACATTTCCGTGAATGTAGTATATCAAGCACAGTATGAATATAATATCATTGTATTTTAACCGAAAACTATTAAAAAAATTATTAACATCTCTTGAACATTGGAAGGTTAGGTAAAGTCTTTTGTTTTCGTCATGTATTTTATCCTATTTTACATTGAAATACATCACGTTTCAGCAAAACTACTATTTATTTCTGAGAATATATTCATTCAGGCACAGTTTAGGTAAAATATACATGTGCTGTAACATTTTTTTAATTGAAAACGATTCGAAAAACACGTACCCTCTAGCCCTGTTTAAGGAGAAGACTGGGAGGAGCTGTTTGGTGCTTAAGACGATGACAAGGAAAATGATTTTAATGAAAATATTCAGAAAGACCCTGGCACTGTCAAGGAAAGTGGCTGCTGAAGGCTTCCGGGACATGGCAGAGGACGAGATTAGGGAGCTAATTGAAGAGCACGACACTGAGCTGACCGAGGAGGATCTACAGGAGTTAGTAGACTCAGGCAAGGAAGAGGAAGCGAAAGGGAAAGAGGATGAGGAAGAGCACCAAGAAAAAACTTAAAATTTTATGGGTGAAATGACGGCATCAAGCATGGGGTGATTTCTCTTTCACCCCCACTTCCTTCTCTTCTCCCTTCTCCTCCACCCCCACTTCTAATTCCCATCATCATCATCATCAACCAGGAGCCTTCTACATACACACCTCAAAATAAGTGTACTTTACTGCATTTTTTTTATACTTTGTATGTAATTTTTGGTGAGCTGGAACCAATTACCCAAAATCCCATTGAAACAATGGTTTCAGTTAATGAAATTTTTGATTAACGAACGACCTTCTGGAACGAATTATGTTCGTTAACCGAGGGACCATTGTATGTTTCTAAAATTGCCAACAAAATATATGCAGAATATCCTGTATCAAACTTTGCAAGAATTAGGGATATGAATAAGCTAGCATTATTTTGTGGAACAGTACCATGTTTATGTTGTCAAGCAAAAAACATTTTTTATAGCTGTACAAGATTGGAATACTTTAGTAATATAGGCATGTACTGTACAGTACTGTACTATTACACCACATCAAAGCTAGAAATAAGAGGTACATAACAGATGAAGTTACAACAAGAGATAAGAATAATTTGTTGTATTACTGCCTGACGAATCTTGTACCCTACAATGTTGTAGTAAGCACCCCACAATCTTGTACTCTACATACTCTGTTGTGGTAAGCACCCCACAATATTGTACTCTACACTGTTGTAGTAAGCACCCCACAATCTTGTACTCTATGTACACTGTTGTGGTAAGCATCCCACAATCTTGTACTCTACACTGTTGTGGTAAGCACCCCACAATCTTTTACGCTATACTGTTGTGGTAAGCACCCCACAATCTTGTACTCTACACTGTTGTAAGCACCCCCCACCCCAATCTCAATTAGTCTTAATTACACTGAAGTGATTGTCACAACTTTGTTCTTCTGTTGTAG